ACTTGGCGAAACGCTGCGTTTGAGCAAATGATAGGGCAGAGAAAAAGGGGCTCCTTCGGTCAGTTCATGGCCGTGATTTATTAGGCACAAACAGACCAGTGGTGGGTTTTGATAGGTGCCATGTTAAGGGTTCTCACCCAGGGCAAATTCTAAGTGCAGTTGGGGTTGATGGAAATAATGGGATGTATCCAATTACTTTTGCTGTTGTTGAAGTTGAAAACACAGAGACTTGGAGTTGGTTCTTTGACATATTCTTTCAAGATGTAGGTATTCAAAATGGCAATGGCTGGGTTTTCATTACTGATAAGCAAAAAGGTTTAGGGAATGCCCTTCATGCTTTGATGCCCAATGCTGAGCACAGGCATTGTGTGAGGCATTTACACAATAATTTCAAGCTTGCATGCCATACTAGTGCAGCTTTGAAGCAAAGGTTGTGGGTAGTAGCTAGGGCAACAACATTACCTGTATTTGAAGCTGAAATGGAGCAGATGTTGGGTCAGTCTGAGGCAGCATATAAGTGACTTGAGGATAGACCAGCTGCTCATTGGAGTAGATCACACTTTAGTACAGTCCCAAAGTGTGATATACTTCTAAACAACTTGTGTGAGTGTTTTAATGCTGCAATTTTAAAAGCAAGGGATAAGCCCATTGTTACTCTTTTAGAGAGAATTAGAACATACTTGATGCTTATAATGGCTAGACTTAGAGAAACAGTGTGGCCCCATGAGGTTGGTCCAAGAATATTTGCTATTGTGGAGAAGAATTCAATTGAAAGTGGCCACTGCATAGCTTCGTATGCTGGTGGGGAGAAGTATCAAGTTAATAGTATGTTGGGAGCTATGTTTGTTGTGGATTTAAAAAGGCATACATGCACCTGCAGAAAATGGGACTTAAGTGGAATCCCATGTCCACATGCCTTGGTTGCAATAGCAAAGAGTGAGCACAAACCTCTGGATTTTGTGCATGCACTTTACAAAAGGCCGGCATATGATAGGGCTTATGAGGGCTATATATCTCCAATGCCTAGTCAAGCATATTGGAGAAAAACAGGTCATGTACCTATCAGGCCACCTCTTTATCACATCCAACCAGGAAGGCCCAAACTTAGTAGAAATAAAGAACTTGATGAAATACCAAGAGGGGCAACAAAACTTAAGAGGTATGGCATTGTAATGACATGCCGTAATTGTGGACAAGAAGGTCACAATTTTGCAAGTTGTTCCCAAAATGGACAGGTTAGATTTGTTTTTAATTTTTTTGTTTCCACATTTCATTTGTTGAAAATGGCTATGTTAACATGTGAATTGGAGTGTTTTTGCTATGTTCACATGTCATTGGAGTGTTTTTGCTATGTTAACATGTCATTTGTTGTTATTGACAATGAAGGGGCAACCTAGAGGTGCTAGAGCAAGAGTCGGCAGAAGGGGAAGAGGAGCTGTGAGGGGAAGAGGTGCAAGGGGAAGAGGAGCTACAACTAGTAATGGAGGTGTGCTAGTGCCAATGCAAGTGGAACAGTTGGTGTCAAGGGCAGAGGTGTTGTGAGAGGCAGAGATATTGTGAGTGAACAAGAACAAACTCATGCCAAACCAAATTTTAATGTAAGTACTTGGATTAAACCTTGATGTTTTACAATTATTGTGGTGTGTTTTGAAGGCTTAAGGGAGCTATGCTTGCAACAGGTGAAAAGAGGAGCCCATGCCCCCCATATCATAAGGAAGACCAATCTATTTGTTGGTTCACAACCTGCCCAAGGTTCAAGTTCCCAAGCTCCTTCACAACCTACCCAAAGTTCACAAGCTCCTTCACAACCTGCCCAAAGTTCACAAGCTCATCAAGGTTCAAGTTCACAACCTCAACCAATGGTAACTTCTCCAAAAAGGCCTAGGTTAAAATCTCCAGCAAAACGAATATGGCCATGGAGAGTTTAGTGAGATATTTGAAGTGAATGGTTGAAGAATTGTGATGTTTATTTTGGTTTTGTGGATCATTTTGGTTTGCAATCTATTTTCTGGTATATTTTGAACTGATTTTGTACAAGCTAACTTGTAATGGTTAGTGATGAAGATGTATTTTTGAAACTGAATTTGGACAAGCTTTGATGGCAAAGCTATATGTTGTGGATGTGTATGTGTATGTTTAAGGGATTTTGAACAAGACCGTTTAGGGGATGTGTCTGTGTATTTTGAAGTGCTATTAATGTAATGACATGTGAATTCAAATGTTGTATTTTGGCATACTTTGAAGTGCAATTCATATCTTTGGTGTGACAGTTACTATTTCAATTGTCAAAATGAGAGCATGCATTTTCATTCAACAAAACAACTCATACATTGATTACATTGGTCACAACACTCAAAATGAAGCCAATTACACACCCTTTCTTACCTTTACAACAAGCCAATCACCCATCCCTTTCTAACTATTACAAAATGCCAATTACCATCCCTTTCTAACCATTACAAAATGCCAATTACCCATCCCTTTCTAACCCTTACAAAATGGCAAGCACCCATCCCTTTCTAACCCTTACAAAATGCTAACTACCCATCCCTTTCTACAGCCACCCATTGGTGTCTTTATCTTCATTAAAAATCAAGCACATAATAACCCCAAATATGCACAACGACACCTAAAACCATGGGTTTTTCAGCTTCGAATTCCCTTTCTTTTTTTCTACTTCCAACTTGTTAATTCTCCTCAGCAATCCTGGAATTATTTGCTTAGATCTATTGCACATAACAAGGTCACCCCACTCCCACATTTGACAACGATTCTGCAAAGACAGTTTTAAAACTTGGAAACTCAAAACTGAAAATTAGAAACCCAAACTTCAAAATTCAACTTACCCACGCATAAACATAAAATCTTCATCCTGGATGTGAAGAGGTCCAAGAAGTCTGAATTTTTGCAACCTTACCACAGTAACAGACCCGTGATGGCAACATCAATGAATTGCCATCTTCGAACTCTGAACTCCCTCTGTGTGACCCATCAACCCTGCCAGGTAAGTTCATCCTCATCTCTCTCTCTCTCTCTCTCTCTCTCTAGATAGATGAAAATCGCCAGAAACAGAAACAAATGGAGGTGGAGCACGATATACGTGGGAAGTGTGTGAAGGTTTGACTGGGTAAGGGTTCAATTCTCTGACTGACGAAAATAACCCTAAAAAAAGAGTCAAAGTGAGTCAAATTGACTGATTAATAGATGAAATGTTCGAATTTTGACGGTGGGGGAACATTGATAATAAAATTTAATTCGAGCCCTTAATTCGCTAAAAAAAAAAGGTCATGTGGTAAATTGAGAGTTATGTACAAGTTCAGGGAGCAATTCAGCAAATTACCCATCAAATTTCTTCTGCCTACTCAAACCCAACCCAATAGGAGCCATCTACCCTAAAGGCAGGGTAGGCAGTGCCAAACCAAAAATTACCCAATACCCAATACAATCAAATTGCTTATGCCTACTCAAACCCAACCCAATAGGAGCCATCTACCCTAAGGGCTGGGTAGGCAGCCGCCTACTCCATTTTTTGCCAAACCAAAACTACCCAATACCCAATACAATCAAATTGATTCTGCCTACCCATTTTTTGCCAAACCAAAAAATACAATCAAATTTCTTCTGCCTACCCCATTTTTGCCAAACCAAAAATTACCCAATACCTGTGGTTGATTGAAGAAAAGGGAAGGATTATGAGGAAATGGAGAGAGGAAGAAAGAGCCTTCATCCATAGAGGAGCATGTGCATGCCAAATTCTCTAGAGAAAGAAAGAAAGGATTCTAACTATTTCAAGATTTTAGATTGGTATATACTCGTTTGTAGTTAGGCATAAAACCTAGGTTTTCTTTCCCTCTCCCGCCTTATTCCCTTCTCTGTTCGCTCTCTCCCAAACGACATTGTACGATCCGAATTCAAAGTTTTTTCTTATGTAATGGTACTTTTTCTCTTCGCTATCTGTATATTGATTTTATTGTCATATATATTACAAATTTACATCAAGATAGTGGTCTTCTAGGTTTTTGGAAATTTTTATCAATTCGTGCACCAGTTCATCTTTACTCCTAGAGTTCTTTTTTTTTTTTTTTGGTCAACTACTCCTAGAGTTCTATTTCCATCAGATTGTTATGCTTTCCTTTATATGAAGCAACCTTATAAACTAATTATAATGGATATAGTCAGGGGCGGCCCTGGGGTGGTGCAAGTGGCGCCACCGCACAGGGCCTCCGATTCTTGAGGGCCCCAAAAAAAAATTTCTTTATATTGTATATATAGTATAGCGTGCAAAATGTTTACACAAGAGCATGTCTGGTGGAGTTGGCTCCAGCGCATGTTCACTTATTGGAAGCACCAGAGTTCGATTCTGCCTGAAGTCAGTCCATTTGGCTTTTTTATATTATTTTTGCTTTATAACCATAAACTTTACATAATTATTATAAATATAAATTTTAAAAAAAAAAACAGAAAGCCTTTAAAAAAAAAAAGGGAAACATCGAAGTTAACAACAAGAAGAGTATATATATTCCCCAAACACTTTTTACTTCAAAACCAAAAATACTTCATGGTTTTTTCTTTCTCTTAAACTCTGATTTTCTGGTAAGTAATCATCATCATTCATCAATCTTTATTTGGTTTTTTTTCAATCATTTGACAATTTTTGTTATTCTTTCAATTTCAGGAATTTCAACACCAAAAAGAGAAATTCCTAATTCCTAAATTCATAAAGACCACTCAAAATCAAATAGTCAGACTACTCTTTAATTTGTTATTGCCAATTTTTTTTCTTCCTATTAACCAGAGATTGCTTATTGAAGGCAGCAAGGGACCTTTTAGGGGCACAATGAGCTTATTTTTGTACCAAACATTTAAATTTATCAAATGGACACATTTAAATTTTTATGAATTTGATTTCTGATTGTCATTACATATTTATTGATTGTGACTTTTAGGTATAAAAAAAATTGTTTATAACATTAAGTCATGGCAAAAAAAAATTTATAGTATTTTTGTATTAGATTATGTGAGGCCCCAATTTAAATTTTGCACAGGGCCCTCAAAATCTCAGGGACGGCCCTGGATATAGTATTTCATGGTATATGTGATTGTATTCGTGGTAGATATCTGTATATGATTCTGGGCTTCCAATTGTTGTGTCTGGTATTATCTGTAGTATTTGTAAGCTCTACAGTTAATCCATACACCATTGTGCTTATTCTTGCAATCATATTATGTCTCCTATGCATAATCCTCTCTTAAATGATGACATAACAAAAGAAGAGGATGGAAAAAAAGGGGCATTCGGAAATCTCTGCAAGGCAGTCTTTTGTATGAGTTTTTGGCTTCTTTTTACCCCTTTCAAAAGTACATTCTTAAGGTGTTTATTAAGGATTCTTTGGACTTCTTGATGAGAAGATGTTTAGCAGTTTGACCATTAATTGCCATTTGATTTGACACAGTATCCGAATGGCAAACCCGGTGATTGTATGCTCCCAAAGTACATTGAGAATTGCTAAAAGCAAAATTACTCAAGGTACTATATATGTGTTCCTTGGATTGTTGTCTTTTCCCTTGGCTTATGACAAAGTTGAAGATATCCAAATTCTTATAATACCTTAAATTAGGTCATCTGACACCTCTTCTCTTTCACAGGACTTCTATGAGCTGTGGCCTCTGAAATTTCAATGCAAGACAAATGGTGTTACCCAGGTATAAAGTTCATAGCATCTTTTATAAAGTACTTGCTAGTTTCATTAGACTATTCCTTCTGTTTATGTGGTTGAAGAAGAATGGTGAGATACACACCTCCAAAGATGTCAAATAGGGCTTATGGAGCAGAGTGTTCCACAGAGTTAATTAAGTAAAATAATCTGCAGACTTTAAGTGCAGTACTGAGTCTTCAATATTTTCTTGCTTATAGATAAGAAACATTTGCCAATCTTTTATTAGGCTTGGAGACTTAACACCTTCATTTTAGTGTGTAAGTTTTCGTATGCTTTGGTTACTTAAAGAACTCCATAACCCAAAAGTTACAGACAAAACATTCATATCTGATGCCACTAAATCCAGCACCAGTTGCCAGGGCCATGAATTCTTGTTCACTCCTCTCCTTCCCTCCTGGATTTTGAGTCATCATAATCACATCAAGTTGGGAAGTGCTTTTCACAGCAGTGCTAGTATCTGGCATAGCTGGAAGTAGTGCTTCCACAACAATCACTTTTCCATTGTCTGGAATAGCTTTGTAACAATTCTTCAACAGCTTTAGGCAGTGCTCATCGCTCCAATCATGAAGTATCCACTACAAACAAATGTGTCAGAAGACAAGTAGAACAGCTTCATATATTTAGTTACCATTCTTAAA